TATGAAGAGGGGACCACTCATTTCTCTCATCACATGGCAAGAAAGAGTAGTCTCAGCATAATGAATGTTAATGATGATATTCTATGGTGCAGAGGAAGATGATAGTCCAAGTATTGGCAAGACACAGCAAAGGGAGGGAAAACCAAAGAAAAGGGACACATAATGATGTATATAAAAACAAAAGATGTTTACCTCCCCAAGGCATCATAAGTTGCTGCAAGATTGCTATACACTCCAAGAGTGTCAGAATGATATGTACCACACTCTCTCTCCAATATCGTTCTTGCTTCTTCAAAATGTTTGGCAGCATCCCCTATTTTATACAGTTGCACACATGCCAGCCCCATCTGGTTCAGTACAATTCCAAAAAAGGTAAACTTTTTCTCCCCACTTGCTCTCAGCTTGGTGATGGCATTCTCAAAAGACTTCCATGCCTCCATGTACCTCCCAACCATGTAGAACATCACTCCCATTTGAGCTTCTATTCCTGCCACTGTCCTATACTGTCCAGGGATATCCTGCAACAATTTCACTGCCTTCTGCAGCAGCTTCAATGCCTCCTCAGGCTCATTTAGAGCTTCATAGATGCCAGAGATTTCAGTCAACCCACTTGCAATCTCCCCAGCCGTTGTTCCTACCACGGGCTTACTGTATATTCTCAAGGCATTTTCGCAATATGATTTTGACTCCCTTAATTTTCCCGTCCTGTAGTAAAGCTCTGCAAGGCGAATGAAGACTAACGCCACAGAACTGTGGCTTTCACCTTTGGTGGATTTGAACACAGTTAGTGCTTTCTGATAGGCGAAAACAGCCTCATCAAAACGACAGAGTAACATGTAAATATCTCCAATGCTAACATCAATTGCTGCAACCTCATTTTCTTGTGCATTGGCGATCATTGACATGCTAGCTAGGACAAGGTGCTCCAGAGCTGGTTCATAGTCTCCCTTGGCCTCACATATAAGGGCCATTAGACGCCTGTCGGTTGCTTCTGTAAGAGAAGCAGGAGAGCAATGCTCCCTGTGAATTTCTAGGGTCTTCTTGCAGAACTTCTCTGCTTGCTCAAATTGCATGGCTTGGACATGAGCTTCAGCTAAGTACCTGCCCTTCATGGAAATCAATTATTTTAGGAAATTTTCAGCACCACAAAGTGTTCTAATCCTATTAATCAGACATGATATTGACAATAGATAAGCATAAACAGTAGCAAATCAATGGTATAGCCAATTTCTCCATTCTCTTACGTCCATCACAGCACAGAAAGAACACTATTTCTTCCAGAGTTTCACTTAGAAAATAGATGATATGACAAGGGTTTCACCAAAATAGTGGTATAATTTAAGGTGCTGTCAGAGTGCTAAGTAAAATGGTTAAAAAATTATGTCATTTACTGTAAAACTCACATTTTCATTGAAATCATAATTCACAATAAAGCAGTTCAATTTATTCATCCCTAACAGTGTAATAAAAAAAGAAGATTAAACATATCCAAAAAGCATTCTCCTTGCTTATACTGCCTCTTGTGAATTTAAAGCTATCCATTCACTTTTAATAACCAGCTGCTCAGAAGATGGCTAATAGTACATGTCAAAGGATGCAGCATTCTCTTCAAGTACAACAGAAAGGAGCTTTTTGTATATGCCGAAAAAAAAGAGAGAAATGATGCCTTCACAACTTTTTCAAATACAACCCTTTTATAATAATAATAATAAAAATAATAATAATAATAATAATAATCGTTATCAACTAAAAATACTTTGAGAAGTAATTAAGTTGTGGACTGATTGTATAACTAATATCGGTTGTCAATGTATCAGTAAAAAAAACATTTTGTTATAGTGAAAGAATAAGGGTAAGCATGATTTTCTTCTGGCCTTTTAACATCCCAACACTCAAATTCACATAAAAAAAAAACTTTAGTTTTAATTATTTGATTTTCCAAAGTGTTTTAAACACAAAAAAATAAAAATGAGACAACTGAGAGATGTTTTCTCATTATGGTCCTAACTCAAGAAATGCTGGTAATCTGGAATGTACTAAATGTAGTGAAACATAAGCTTGGTGGAAGTGTTTGTTTTCTTTATTTTTCTTTCTGAAACCAAAATGAGCCTTTGAAAGTAGATATCAAACGCGTACTATAGCATGAGAGGGACTATCATAGCTTAGTTCCAAGAAGGTTCAGCCAATTCATCAGTTGCTTGTAGTTTAGGAAAATGCTTAGATTCTGAAACTGACATCCCCAGATTCACAGTAGATTCCAAGGCCATTATGGCCAACAGCTACATGCTTATCAACATAGGGTCCAGCACATTAGTGATTCATAATTTGACATTTTAAATAGTACAAAATTGGCAGTGATGCAGTTTGTCACTGCAACTGTGATGCCCACAAGATAAAGGCTATAAATGATTTATACCAACAAAGTAATATTTTAAGAGATAACAACAAACCCACTGCTCTATTTTTCCAACAGCAAAGGCCCCATTCGCCAGTAATTCTCTAAGAAAATTTGACAGCAGATAACAGAAAGTTGAAAAGGAAAGAAAATAAAGCTAGGAATAAATTAGAAATAAAAATGATTCATTTAAAAAAACTGTGACAAAATAATGGAAATAATTTTTCTTTTTAAAGAATAATATTTAAAATTGATTATATTAAATCTGAACTTTCTTTTAGTTCTACTGAATCAAAGAACCAGTATACTAATTCAGTATAAGAGAGAGCATTACTTGGGAGAAAGTGCTAACTACACAGTATTCTTGTCTAATCACAGATATTTCTATATAATAAATTTATTAACTTGTAAAAATCGTTGTTTAAAATAATATAGATGATGGATTTTTAACAGTTGAGATTATAATTTTTTATATATTGGTCAAGCACAATGGTAAAAAGACATGTGGGTCATAGCAATAAAATGGATAAGGTGATAATAGTGTTACTTTACCTACAAGTCTCAGCTATTCTCGGGTCGGACTCACCCAGAACATCCATTTGGATCTTCAAACCCGACTCGTAACACGAAATGGCCCTATCCAACTGCCCAATCATGGAATACGTATCACCAAGTTGCATGTACCCGGAGAACTGAGCCATGGCATGACCCGACTCGTTTTCCCCTTCCAGCAACAAAATGGACCTTTCCAAAGCCTCAACCGCCTCATCCAACCGCCCCAAACTGCTGTGTATCGCAGCAACCACGTGGAGACACGTGGCAAGCTCCAGGCCCGGGCCCGCACATCGCTCGAAGGACTTGGAGGCTCGAATGGCGAAATCCAGGGCCTTCACCGGGCTCTCACCGGAAGCTATTGTTTCTCGGGCCATCTTCAGAAGGAAAGGGCCCAGATCCGGATTGTCCAAGGAGGACTCTTCTACTACCAGCGTCTTCTTCACGGTTCGGTTCAGCGGTGGGGTCCGCCTCTCACCGCCGTCTGCCTGTGGCGCGGTGCGGAGGTAATCCGCGAAGGGCTGCATTTGAGGTGGCATGGGAAAAGATTGAATGAAGGATTGCCCAGAAATCAAAATTGAAACTTTTGTGGGGAATTTGAATGGGCAGTGTTGTATTTGTGGGTTTGGGATTGTGGGTGGAGATGAAAGGAGGGAAGCTTCATGATTTGTGTTTAGATTTGGAAAAGAGAAAGAAAAATTATTAGGGTTGTTGTGAAAATTGGGGACTGATAAATAGAGAGAAAAGTGGAAATAGATTAGGGGTGGTAGTGGAGGAAGGTTGCTTGGAAGAGACGCGTGATGATGGGAGAATTGGCATACCTTAATTTGAGGACAAGCTTGACGAGGAAGAAAGGGAAGAACAGAGAAATGAAGTCCATGATTACAAACAGAGCAGTGTTTGAATTGAAACAGAGAGAAATTTATGTTATTGAAACTGCTTATTTGCAGCAATGGCTTCTTTGTGTATTGCTTGATATATGCAAGTGTACATGGTGGTATTTGTTCTTAAATTAAGAATGAAGAGGACTTTTGTGACATTGCATTTAACATTTTTTTTGTTTATAGGTATAAAAATTTCTGTTAAATTTAGAAAGAAAAATTATGTTGCAGCTGAAAATAGGAAAATATTCAAAAGGGTAAATTATGTTTTAAATAAATTAATAATAAATCAGTGTTTTAAAGAGTTTGGAGGAAATATTTTAAATCGTGTTCATATATTTATTATTTCTTTATAAATGTTTCGTAACTTAATTTAAAATAAGAATAAAAGGTATGCTATTTGAATAAATTGTAAAAGAATTCTTAATTAATCATAGAAAAGTATGTCAAATGCACTGCAAAAATTATTAAAATATGTAATTCAAATGTTAAAAAGTATACACAATTTTATTTTACAATTTATAATATGTGAAATATTGGATTAAGTTTTTGGAAAAAATATGAGAAATAAACAGGAGTCTATTTCTTCCTCTTGTTCTCCAGGTTCCATGTATTTATGAGGTTTGTGTTGTCCTTTCTTATTTAGTTTCTAATCCATCATTTTAGTTTTTTTATTTTATTTTATTCTTCATAATTTTAGTCTAAAATTTTAAAAGATTTGTATTTTTTTGTTCAAACTTTGATTTAGTTGTGTTTTGTTTATTTTAATTTAACCAATTAAAAGATTAACATACATAAATCTAAGGATTAAATTAAAGTTGTAGATTGTGAAAAGAGTTATGGGCTAAATCATAAAAAATAATAAAGGAACAAATTGCAAATAAGAATTAAAGAAGACTAAATCTGCAATTTACACCTAAAAATTGTTTAGAATTGTTTTTCTGGATACTTTTATATTTTACTCATATAAAATATCTTTTATAAATCAGTCATGACATTGGTAATAACAATCATCACAAATTATATAAGAATTATAAAAGTGATAATAATAAGTCAATAGCAATTTATAAAGGATAAATAGTTATAATATTTTAAAACATAGTAATAAATATGTTTTAAATTTACAAACTTTATTTAGTCAATTTTTTAAATAATAATATAATTTTTTTANACAACAAGAACAACAACAAAAAGAACAAGAACAACAACAAAAAGAAGAAGAACATCAACAACAAGAACAAAAGAAAAAAACAACAAAAAAAACAAGAACAACAAGAATATTACCAAGAACAACAACCACAACAACAACAACAACAAGAACAATTGGAACATGAACAAGAACAATTGGTACAACAACAAGAACAAGAACCAAAATACGAACACGAATAATGACAAGAACAATAACAAGGACAAGAACAACAATAAACAATAAAAACGACAATAACAACAAGAAAAATACCAACAAGCAGAAAACGAACAACAACAAGAAGAACAAAGATAACAACAACAAGAACAACATGAACATCAACAACAATACAAAAAGAATAACAACAACAATAACAAGAACAACAAGAAGAAGAACAAGAACATCATAAAAAAGAACAAGAACATCAAAAACAACAACATCAACAGAAAGAACAAAGACAAAAACAACAACAACAAAAAGAACAAAAACAACTACAACAACATCATAAACAACAAGAAGAATAATAAAAAAAAAACAACAACAAAAAGAACAAGAACAATACCAAGAAAAACAAGAACAACAACAACAATAACAAGAACAATTGGAATAACAAGAAGAACAACAACTAGAAAAAAAGAAAAGAAACCATAAAAAAGAACAACAACAATAACAACAATAACAAAAACAACAATAACAAAAACAACAAGAACAATACCATGAACAACAAGAACAACAACTACTACAACATGAACAACAACAACAAGAACAACTGAAACAATACAAACAAGAAGAAAAAGAAGAAGAAGAACAACAACAACAAGAAAAATACTAACAAGAAGAACAAAAGAAACAACAATAAAAACCAGAACCAGAAGAAGAACAAAGAGAACAATAACATCAACAACAAAAGCAAGAACAAGAACAACAAAAACACCAACAACATGAACAACAACAATAACATAAATAACAAACACAATAAGAAAAATAAAAAGAACAACAACAAAAACAAGAACAACAAGAACAAGAACAACATCAACAAGAACAAGAACAAGAGCAAAAGAACATCAAAAACATCAACAACATCAACAAAAAGAACATCAAGAACAAGAACAAGAACAACACTAAACAATAACAAAAATAACAACAACAAGAAGAAGAACAATACCAACAACAATAACAAGAAAAATACCAACAACAACTAGAAAAGGAACAAGAACAAGAACAAAAAGAAGAACAAAGAGAACAATAACATCCACAACAAGAACATCAACAACATCGGCAACAACAACAATAATAAAAAGAACAACAACAACAATAACAAAAAGAACAACAACAACAATAACAAAAAGAACAACAACAACAATAACACCAATAAGAAAAAGAAGAACAATAACAAGAACAACAATATCATAAAAAAGAACAAAAACAAAAACAACAAGAACATAAAAAACAACAATAAAATCAACAAAAAGAACAAAAACAAGAACAATCACAACAAGAACAACAACAAAAAGAACAAGATTAACAACAAAAAGAACAAGAACATCAACAACAAGAACAAAAGAAAAAAAAACAACAACAAGAACAACAAGAACAACAACAACAAGAACAACAACAATACCAACAAGAACAATTGGTACAACAACAAAAATAAGAACCAAAATAAGAACACGAATAACGACAAGATAAATAACGAGGACAAGAATAACAATAAACAAGAACAACGACAACAAAAAAAATACCAACAACAAGCAAAAAAAGAACAACAACAACAAAAAGAACAACAAGAAGAACAAAGAGAACAACAACATCAACAACAAGAACAATAAGAACATCAACAACCACAACAACAATAACAAAAAGAACAACAACAATAAAAATAACAAGAAGAAGAACAACAACAAGAAGAAGAACAAGAACATCCTAAAAAAGAACAAGAACAAGAACATAAAAAACAACAACATCAACAAAAAGAACACAGACAAAAATAACAACAAAAAGGACAAAAACAACTACAACATCATAAACAACAACAACAAGAACAAAAGAAATAAAACAACAAAAAGAACAACAAGAACAATACCAAGAAAAACAAGAACAACAACTAGAACAAAAGAAAAAAAATAACAAAAAAGAACAACAACAATAACAACAACAAGAACAATACCATGAACAACAAGAACAACAACTACTACAACATGAACAACAACAACAAGAACAACTGAAACAATACCAACAAGAAGAAAAAGAAGAAAAAGAACAACAACAACAACAACAAGAAAAATACCAACAAGAAGAACAAAAGAAACAACAACAATAAAAATCAGAACCAGAAGAAAAACAAATAGAACAACAACATCAACAACAAAAATAACAAGAACAAGAACAACAAAAACACCAACAACATGAACAACAACAATAACAAAAATAACAAACACAATAGGAAAAATAAAAAGAACAACAACAAAAACAAGAACAACAAGAACAAGAACAACATCAACAAAAACAAGAGCAAAAAGAACATCAAAAACAACAACATCAACCAAAAGAACATCAAGAACAAAAACAAGAACAACAAACACAAGAACAACAACAACATAAAAAAAGAAGAACAACAACATAAAAAAAGAAGAAGAATAACAAAAACATTATCATCAACAACAACAAGAACAAAAGAAAAAAAACAAGAACAATACCAAGAACAACTACAACAAGAAGAACAAAGAAAAACAACAAGAACAATTGGAACAACAACAAGAAGAACAACATGGACAACAACAATAACAACAACAAAAACAAAAAAAAAACAAAACAACAAAAAACAATAACAATAATAGTAACAACAACTATAACAAGAATAAGAACAAAAACAAAAACAAAAACAAAAAGAACAACTAAAACAATACCAACAAGAAGAAGAATAACAACAACAATAAGAACAAAAGGAACAACATCATCGACAACAAAAACAAAACCAACAAAAATAACAATAATAGCAACAGCAACAATAAAAAACCAAAAAAAAACTACAAAAACAAGAACAAAATAATTGAAAATGTAAAAAAAATACATACTTTAAGCTATTCTCAAAAACAACAAAAGGATACTATAGAAAGGAATAATAATGTAGCACTTGCCCTACTTTTATCTAGCAAAAAATTGACAACAATTTGGTTGCCAAAATTGAACTCTAGAAAGTGTCTGAAATTTCGAAATCAAACTACAAACCACAACAGAAGTCTAAAATGTAAGTTCTTACATNCTTGATAGGTTTACACTGTCTTCTTTATTTTTACTGTTTTGTGTTTAATTTGATTACAGAATGTGAAAAGTTATTTACTTTTGAGATTTTGAGATATTCACCTGAGTTTCATCATCTACCTGTGTATTTTCTCTTAAAGGGTTTTTTTTTTTTTTTTTTCAAGTTCAAGATGGAGATTTGAAAAGAAAGGAGAGGGAGTGATTGCATATGTTTCTTGGTTTCCTTTTGGTTGAAATGAAATTCTTTGAGGGGTGAATAAGGAGTGGAGGAGATAGTTTTAGGTTTTGATAAGGTATCTGATACCATTCTGCTAATGTCATTGATTGAGGATGAGGTTTTCTACTTCATTTGTGAAATCACACTTTTTTTTCTTTTTTATTGAAAGTAGATACTAAGCACGTTTTAGTGAGTAATGCTTTGAAAAATTTTGTTTTCAGTGTTTTTCTCCATTGTGGAGTTATGGAGTTCTGGTTTAAGTTGAACTCTTATCTTGGATTTCTGTTCTTTTACAAATTTTCAGTTTTCTGATACTATGCATAGAACCTGTTTGCCAAATGAATACTTGAGTTGAGAGCTTTAAACATTGAAACTGGAATAGAATCCAGAGGATTTGCCAAATTAAAGGATAAGTTTTAGCCATTAATTTCAAAATTCCATGCTGTATCAGTTTCAATATTTGACGAAATC